TAGTGAGCATGTTTTGCATTTTAATAGAAGGGGTGAGTGATCTAAAGGTGTTCTATTCCGGTGAGTTATTTGAATATGATCAAATAAATCAAGGAATTTAGGATTAAATAGCAAACAGTCCAGGCGTCTCCATAACCTTCCAATTACTACCAGCACTTGAATGTCCCACTGCCTAACCAGTTCACATAAACTCACGCGGGAGGAAACAAGATCACGAACATTCCAAATTAGAAAATTCTTAGGGAAACTGACAAGGGCACTTGAGAAAGCATTTCACATAGTGCTGGATTCGTTTCGGGCCACCCGGCCCGTGACCCGGCCCGGCCAGCTACTGTGTGGGCCCGGGACCGGCCCGGTCTGGCGGTCTGGAACCGGATGGATACCCAAACTGGGGGTGTAGGGCGGGGCGGGCTCGGTTCTTACAAAAGGTGAGAACCCGAACTGGGTTCGGGTCCGGGTCCAATGGTAGGATTTAAAAAAAAATCTTTTGGGCTCAAAAGAGCCGTTAGGCTGGGCTGGGACTTCCCAAACGGCTATAAATACTCCTAATATTAAACATTTTTACACATCTTCTCCAATTCTTCCTAAATCCTCTCTGTTCTCTAATCATCTTCATTTTCTTCATCTTCTCAAATTCTCTTGTTCTCCAATATATTTTACATTTTTACTATTTAATACTTATACAAATATTATATCAACTTTATATTAATTATCTACATATAAATACATATATTATATTAGTTTTATTTCTTATCTACTTATATATTAATTATCTACTTTTATTACAATTTATATCTACTTAATATACATTTTATATATTAAAGTATTAACTATAAGTGTATTACTCAAATCTTATAGTAGTATACTTATATATAATATACTATAAACATTATATTATATATTACTTATACATTTATTATATCTACTAATATAGTTGGAATTATACCTAATTAATTCGAACTATATTAATTAGTATATTAAGTATATATATATTAAGTAAATATATATACGATTTTTACTAATATATTACTTTTATAGTTTTATTACATCTAATTAATATATTAAGTGTGTGTGTGTGTGTGTGTGAGTAGTGTTCCTGTCAGGACCTCCAAAAACGGACCTCCGTACGGACCTCGACGTTTGGGCCCCTTTCCGGTGGAATTTTTTGATGAAATTTTTTGAGCATGTTCTTCATCAAGTCTAGTTTACCCATACCACATTTCAGCTAAAAATTCCATAGGGAAGGCAGTCAAATGATTTTTTTCAAGTTAACTGCGCACTTTATATACATATAAAATGCAGTTAACTTCCAAAAATTATTTGACTGACTTCCCGATAGATTTTTTAGCTGAAATTTGGTATAGGTAAACTAGACTTGATGAACAACATGCTCAAAAAATTCCACCGGGAAGGGGCCCAAACGCCGAGGTCCGTACAGAGGTCCGTTTTTGGAGGTCCTGACATGAACTTTCCTCTCTCTCTCTCTCTCTCTCTCTCTCTCTCTCTCTCTCTCTCTCTCTCTCTCTCTCTATATATATATATATATATATATATATATATATATATATATATATATATACTACATATATATTAGTTACACTTTAATTAATATTAGTTAAATTCATTCTATTACTCCCATTAATTAGTATACACTTTCATACATTTGTCTTGTTTGTTTAATTTTGTATTAACATTACTTGATTAGTTAATTAGTATTCACACGAATTTTTTAATTTTTCATTAAAGTAGTTAATTACTTCATTACAATTTTTTATTAATTGCTACCTTTGACTCTACTTTAAATAACTAGTTAATTCTCATTATAGTTAAAGTTTAACTAATTTGATTGTTAGTAAAAAAAATTAGGTAGTACAAAAAACTAGTTAATTGTTAGTTTTGAGTATTTATTAAACAATAGTATTGATTAGTTCAAATAACTAGGAAAAAAACTAGTTAATTCATTACTCAATTAATTTTTGCTATAAATTTTGTACTCACATTTTATTAATATTCGCATTTTAGTTCAACTCACATTTTAATTAAAGTACTTCACATTTCACTCGAATTGTTTTTATCAATAAATAATAGTTAGAATTTTATTCGATTAAAGTAAACTTATTAGATTGAAGTATTATTTAAAATAGTTTTAATTACTTGCATTACTTGTGTACTCATTATTAATATATTTGTTGCAATTTAATATTTGTTACATTTTTTAGATGGAACGTGGTAGATATTCAGTTGATAACGGTAACCTCGAGCGCAACCGAACGAACGAGATTGGGAGGAAGAAATCCCGCAAAGGTAAATCACATATCGGCTCTTCATCTCAAAGCCGAGATGATTTTGATATGGGTTACCAAAGGAGGGATGGGGATGCGATGTCCGACATGCAACTACAACAAGAATTGGACCGACATATAACCGCTTTTTCCAAGACGAACAATACCCGACAACCATTGACGAAGAAGAGCTCGAGGGTGACGATGTGGAAGAGATGGCCGCGGAGGAGGGTGGCGGCAGCCACGACGCCGACGAGCCTGCCTCATCCCAAACCGGCAAGAAAAAAAGTAAATCTGAACTTATAATTTACTTGTTGAAGAAAATTTGCCTTATTTGTTTTCTGAAAGTCTTGCTTTGAAAGATTATGCACAAAATTGTTTAAATCCTCAATATAGAGGTTATAGTCGCAAAACGGTTAAGAAAGAAATTATAAGGCTTTATAAAGCGGAAAAGGTAAGGTTACAAATTTTTTTTGCAAACTTTGATGGGCGTGTTACTATTTGTTCTAACATATGGGAGGATAATTATCATAATTTACATTATTTGGGTCTGACTGCACATTATATTGATAATGATTGGAATATGCATAAATGTGTTCTTGCTTTTCGTGAATTTAATGATCGTCACACCGCCGAACATATTTATAATTTGATTGAGCGTATTTTAATTGAGTATAATTTGAATGATAAGGTGTATGCTATTGGTTTTGATAATGCTACTAATAATACAGCTGTCATACCTAGATTGCGTGAATTATGTGGTTCTACTACTTTGATGGGTAGATTTTTCATCAACGATGTGCATGTCATGTTATAAATTTATGTGTGCAAGACGGTCTAAAAGCGTTAGAAGATTCTTTGGAGTTGGTCAAGGGGAGGATTAGACGTATTTGGGGTAGTGGTCAACTTCAATTAAAATGGAAAAAATATGTGATAGTGGTGAGAAATATGTGGCTTTTTCTAAAGATTTGTCTATTCGTTGGAATAGTACTTATAAGTTAATTAGAGTTCTTAGATATAAAAAAACATTTTCCTGCTTTTTTAAAAGAATATGATAACTATATTATAAACTCGGCTGAGATCGACACCTGCGAAAAAATTTGCAATGCTTTGGTATATTTTTTTTAAGCAACTCAAAGTTTTAGTCATGTTTATAAACTTACCTCAAACCATTTTATTCGTGAAGCTGTTAATCTCGCCGGTGCTTTTAATGAATTTGAGACTGCCGATTACGTGAGTTATTTTGCTGAATCTATAAAGGAAATTATTTTAAAATATTATGCACATATTCCACATATTTATGGTATTGCATTTGTTCTCAATCCTCGTTTTAGACTTGGTTCTTTAGAAGAATGTTTTAGGTATTATTATCTTGTCTTTTTTGGTCCTTTTTCAATGTATGACGAAGGCTCAATAGATTGGAAAAAAGAATACAACGAGGTTAGTGATTTATTTTATGCCTTATTTAATGAGTTTCATGCAGAATATGGCAACGCGCCCCCTCCCCCGACACAAACATCTTCATCTAAAGGAAAATCAATTTTTAAATCTACATTTGGCAATCTTATGAAAAAACTAAAACAACTCCCGCTACTCAACAAAGCACAATTAATGAGATTGTTTTGTATTTAACTTATGACGTTGATTTTGAAGAAGATGATGTTTTTGACGTTCTAAACCGGTGGAAGGGAAAAGAAAGAATGTTCCTGGTTTTAGCAAAGATGGTTAAGCAAGTGTTATCAATGTCGGTTTCAACAGTTGCCGTGGAACAGGAATTTAGTTCAACCGGCAACGTCCTTACGCAATCTAGAACGAGCTTGAGCGCGGAATCTCTTGAGACGCTTTTATGATACCACAATTGGTTGAAAGCAGCCCGTAGAACTCAAGAAATGAGCATCACCCCCTCCCAACACTTTATGGATGAATCAACAACCGAGGGTAGCTCTACCTATGCCGGAGATTCCGATTGATTAGTATTTGAAAATTTATTATAAAATGTATTTCATATTTTTAATTTATCCTTCAATTCTCAATTGTAATTTGTAAACTTGTAGTTCATATTTCAAATAAATATACGTTCATTTTTTTATATGTAGCATTTCTCAAATTAATTATTTGATTATTAATTATTTAATTAGATTATTATTTATTAGAAAATGTATTTCATATTGTTTTTTTTTCTCCATTCTAAAATGTAGTTCCTATTTCAAATAAATGCACTTGAAGTTTGTTTTAATATTCATCACTTGTATGAATAAGTAGCAAAATAGGGGGAAAAAATTATACCCGGCCCGGCAGGTAGCCCGGCCCGTGACCCGGGCAGGTGGCCCGGCCCGAACCGGAACCGGCCGAGGGGCGGGCCGGTCTCAAGCCCATGTATTCGGAACCGGCGGCCTGACCGGGCCGACCCGGCCCAAGTCCAGCACTAATTTCACATACTTGCCTTGTGAGAACAGAGCCGCAGAGGAGTGGACGTGAGATGGATGATTTTTGTATCGTAGCATTTGAGATGAATTCCTTTTCAACTGGATTTTCCTTTTGAGGTTTCAATATTCCTCTCAATAACAATATTTGTTTCTGTAAAACAAGTACATCATGCATTCATGCTTCAACTGAGTTTGTAATATATAATATATTGGGAGTCTCCTTCAGAGGCATTGCCCTTTGAGAGAACTAGAGAAGTGATCAATTATGATGGCACTTCAATGGAAACAATACTTAACATGAGAACGCACTATCAATTTCATGAATTTGAATATATCAAGCTATACAACACTTATCTTCGTAGACTCGATACAATTCGTTTTTCATTTATTATTACTATTTGACTTTGGGTAAAAAGAGAATACGCAAGATTTCCTAACCAATAAATATGAAATCATACTAGAAGCTCGAATACGGAGTATATATTAGGCCTAGCTAGGGTATAAGAGGAGGAAAGAAATTGTCAAAACAACTATATACCCAGGAAAATAGGGCACCAAACTATCCACTACAATAGCTAGGTTTGAGAGCCGCTTCCTGTTGAGGAAGTGATTATTCTTCACGGCCGGTCGACTAAGGCTTTGTTTGCAACCACTTCTGCTTAAATAAAAGCACTTTTTGGGAAAAAGTGATTAGCAGTAAAAGTTGGTAATGTTTGGTAAAATAAGTGTTTTTTGTGTAATAGAAAAAGTAAAAAGTAGATTCTACACGAAAATCGAGAAAGTAAAAGTTGATAGTGTTTGATAAAATAAGTGTTTTTTTCTCAATAAAAAAAGTCAAAATCACTTTTCTTAAGTGATTGCAAACAAACCCTTAAGCCTCTACCTCAAGGAGCTAGGCTGATGGTGAAAAGATTAAGAAGTCTCAATTTGAAGTTGGGAGGATCCAGCTCAGCTGCCAGCATAAGAGTCGACGAGGCTTTCATCGATTTTGCCGAATATATCAGGGCATCCATCCCATTCCTCATTCTCACGTGTTTCCCAGTATCCACCTACATACCGGAAATTCCCATCTTCTCCTCTTTCGAACCATCTAGCCTTCCATCCATTTTCTTGTAATTTCCTGGACTGAGACACGCAAAAAAAAACCAACATGTTTTCTCAGTGTAGGCTCCAATATTTCTGAAAACTGCCTTTTCAGTATAAATACTACAGTACTTTTGTTCTTCAAAAACAATTACTGCCTTTAATTTTTGCATCTTTTATGACTAATAATATGTTTGTGAAATTGCCCTCTTTATAAAAATATGTTTTCAATTAGACCGTTTCTGTGATCAGATTAGGAGCAAGTTTGGTAACGCATATTTTCAACTTAAAGTCAACTTTTTATCGAACACGTAATTTTTAACTTAGAGCGCTGAGTAATGTATTAATCAAAAAAAAGTAAGGTTGAAATTACTTTTATGACTAAATTGACTGAAGTTAGAAGTTACTGAAGAAGATAATTTTTGCTAATTTTTTATGTAACTTTTTCTTAATTTTATAATAAAATAAAGGGAGAATTTGACTTTGTGAAATATAAGATTGTATTCATTATACTTCATATAAAATCTTATGCAAGAAGCTATATTTATAGCTATATTTAGAGTACTAGGGTTTCCTATACAAGATATACAAATGGGCTAAGCCCAATACTACTAGGGTTTCCACACTCCCCCTCAAGCTGGAGCATATAAATCATATGTACCAAGCTTGTTACAAATATATTCCACTCTAGGACCTCTAAGAGACTTGGTTAAAATATCTGCAAGGTGTTCAGTTGTGTTCACATATTTTGTGATGATATGTCCACTCGTGATCTTCTCTCGGATAAAATGACAATCAACTTCAATATGTTTTGTCCTCTCATGATATACTGGATTTGATGCGATGTGCATTGCAGCTTGATTATCACACATGAGTTGAACCGGTTTTATATTTCCATATTTTAACTCTTGGAGGATGCTTCAACCATAAGATATCACATGTAGCAAGGGCCATTGCACGATATTCTGCTTCAGCACTAGATCTGGCAACCACATCCTGTTTCTTACTTTTCCATGAAATTAAGTTTCCACCAATCAAGATGCAATGTCCCGAAGTGGAACGTCTATCCATCGGACATCCGGCCCAGTCTGCATCACAGTATCCCACAATATCATGGTGGCCTCGATCTTCAAACAACAATCCTTGCCCTGGAGTTTTCTTGATGTATCTCAAAACTCGGATAGCTGCATCCCAGTGTCCAGTACATGGCTTATCAAGAAACTGACTAAGAACACTTACCGCAAATGAAATATCTGGTCTTGTGATGGTAAGATAATTCAATTTGCCGATGAGTCTTCTATATTTTTCCTTGTTGGGCAAAAGATCTCCCTGTTCTGATAAGAGTTTAACGTTAGGATCCATTGGTGTATCCACTGGCCTGCAATCTAGCAAACCTGTTTCCTCAAGAATATCCAAGGCATACTTTCTTTGTGAGAGAGCAATTCCATCTTGAGACTGTGCAACCTCAATGCCAAGGAAGTATCTCAACTTTCCCAAGTCTTTTGTTTGAAATTTGCTAAACAGATGTTGCTTGAGAAGCGCAATTCCTTGATCATCGCTACCTGTAATGACAATGTCATCAACATACACAACAAGATAAATACATTTGTTGCCGGCAGAATGTCTGTAGAATATAGAATGATCAACATCACTGCGAATCATGCCAAAGCTGCAAACAACGGCACTGAACCTCCCAAACCATGCACGTGGAGATTGCTTCAAGCCATATAATGAACGACGTAATCTGCACACCATACCAGACTCCCCCTGAGCAACAAATCCAGGTGGTTGCTCCATATAAACTTCCTCGTGCAGATCTCCGTGAAGGAATGCATTTTTAATATCCAATTGGAACAATGGCCAGCGGCTCATTGCTGCCATGGATAAAACCAAACGAACTGATGCAATCTTCACTACAGGAGAAAAAGTATCAGTGTAATCCAAGCCATATATCTGAGTATACCCTTTTGCCACAAGGCATGCTTTAAAACGATCAATCTCCCCGTCAGGCCCAACTTTAACCGTGTAAATCCACCGACATCCCACCACTGATTTGCCAGTGAGAAGGGGGACTAAGTCCCATGTCCCACTAGAATGAAGAGCCTCCATCTCAGCCAACATGGCTTTACGCCACTCCGGGTGTGCCAGTGCCTCATGTGTGGTTTTAGGAATGCATATATGAGATAGGTGGGAAATAAAGGCATAGTAAGGGGTAGAGAGGCGGTGATAACTCAAAAAGTTATATATGGGATGTGGATTCAATGTGGAACGCGTACCTTTTCGGAGAGCAATTGGCAAATTATCCTGAGTGGTGTCAAGTGCTGGAGTAGGTGATGGTGGTGATGCAGGATCCGTCATAGGGGAATCAACGGGCGTGGCCACGATGGGCTCAATGGGAGAAGGTCGAGGTCGTCGATGGTATACATGTAATGGACGGTCTCACATAGGAGGGCAGTTTGGGTGCTCATCAGATGGGGGGTTAATGGGAGGCTCCTAATGGATGGGCTGAAGATATGAGGTGAAGTCCAAACATGATAGGGTATTAACTGAAGATAATGGATAATAAAAGGCCGACTCAATGAAAGTGACATCGGCTGAAATAAAATGTTTCTTAAGTAATGGAGAATAACAACGATACCCCTTTTGGAGTCACGAATATCCAAGAAAGATACATTTTATCGACCTAGCCGCCATTTTAGCTAATTCAGGTGTCGTATCATGGACAAAACACACACACCCAAACACATGAGGTGGTAATGGAAATAAATCACGAGCAGGAAACAAAATGGAATAAGGAATTTCATTATTAAGAACTGAGGAAGGCATTCTATTTATTAAATGACACGCAATGAGCACAGCATCTGCCCAATACTGAGGTGGTGTATGGGAATGTAATAATAGGGTACGAGCAGTATCAACCAAGTGCCGGTTCTTGCGTTCAGCAACCCCGTTTTGTTGAGGCGTGTGAACACAAGAAGATTGGTGAAGCATACCTCGTGATGTCATGAATTGATTAAAGGATGCCCCAAAAAATTCTTTAGCATTGTCACTGCGTAAAATTTTGATAGAATGACCAAACTGAGTCTGAATTTCAGCACAAAAAGTTTGAAAGATATGAAACAATTCAAAACGCTCTTTCATTAAAAACAACCATGTGTAACGGGAAAAATCATCCACAAAAATAACAAAATAACGGAAACCTAAAGTAGAAGTGACTCGATACGGACCCCATACATCTGTATGAACTAAATCAAACGGTGATGTAGCCCGGTTATTGACTCGCCTTGGAAAGGATTTACGAGGTTGTTTTCCAAGGTGACATGACTCACAATCTAAAGATGAAAGATTGGAGAAACCAGGAACCATACGTTGAAACTTTGAGAGACTAGGATGACCAAGACGATTATGTAAGGTAATAGCAGGTTCAACTGAAACACAAGCGATTGGATCAAGAGGATGGAGGTGATACAAACCTTCAGATTCATGGCCGACGCCAATCGTTTTCCCCGTACAACGGTCCTGCACAATCACAGAATCAGCAGAAAATGTTACGGAACAATTAAGAGCACGTGTAATTTTACTAACAGAGACAAGGTTAAAAGGGGTGTTTGGGACATATAAGACTGAGTCTAATGGTAAGGATGAAAGTGGAAGCGCTTGCCCAATACCCGAAGCCGAAGTTTGAAGGCCATTAGCAAGAGTAATCAAAGGAAGATGTCGGTGCTTGGTAATATGGGATAAAAGATTGGGATTACCAGAAATATGGTCTGAGGCACCTGAGTCAATTATCCATGAGCCTGATGTGTTTGAAACGCAAGCGGTAGACATCCCCGTTGTAGATAATGGCATATTAGTCAACTTAGATTGCTGATATGCTGCATATTCTTCTGGAGACAGAACAATGGGAGATGGTGGGATCTGAGCAACGGTGACTGGGGTAGGAGAGTCTCCCATGTAATTTCCAACACCTGTCTTTAGTATGACCAATTTTATGACAAAAATCACATTTAGGAAGGTTTCGTCTTGAGAATCCGGTGTTGTTTCCTCCGTCAGAATTCATAAAAGACATTTTTATATATACCTTTTTTTTTCTTTTTCTTTTTTTTTCTTTTTTTTTCTTTTTTTTTTTACTTTTTTTTTTACCTTTTTTTAAAGAGCAGCAAAAAATAAAATATTTAAAGTGGTGCAACTGCAATTAAATTGAAGCAGTCGTAAGGTTTCCCAGGCAGCAGGTTGAAGGCAGCAGGTTGAAGCACTGTAGCTACACAAGGATGAAGAAAACAGACCTCTATCTTCTTTGGGAGGTGCGGACGACTGCGGCGGCGGCGGGCGTACGACGCAGGGAGACGGCGGTCGACGGCGGCGGCGCGTTTGATGGTGGCGGCGTGTGAAGCGGTCGACGGCGGCGAGTTTTACGTCGTTCTGGTCGCCGGAAACTCAGGATCTTCCGGTGGTTGGAGGTGTCAACGCCAGATAAGCAAAAAGAGAGAGATCTGCAAAAAAAAAATGAAAAACTGCAGACGTATGCTTCAGCGGCACGCGGTGGCGCGTGGGTGATGCGGCGCAGGTGATTCCTCCAGCGGTAAGTCACGATGTACCTTTGAGCACGGCGGTAGGTTGATATCACTACCGAAAGCACTCAATTGAAAGTGACGACACTGTTCACGCCGGAATTCTGACCAGAAATTACACCAGCAGAAAAAAAAATCATAAACACTACATTAATATTGCCACACTGGCTCTGATACCATGTGAAATATAAGATTGTATTCATTATACTTCATATAAAATCCTATACAAGAAGCTATATTTATAGCTATATTTAGAGTACTAGGGTTTCCTATACAAGATATACAAATGGGCTAAGCCCAATACTACTAGGGTTTCCACAGACTTTATTTTAGAAACACTAATATATGCACCCCATTTCTCTACGAAATCATTTGACTTTGTACCTTACTCCACAATTTTTGAGCGGATGGGTGCAAATGTTAATGATTTTTAAAATGGAGTGCAAAGTCCAATATCACCCAAAACATGGGGTGCAAAGTCAAATTCTCCCTAAATAAATTTTAAATATATTTTTTCATTATTCAGCCTATTAGCCAATTCAACCACCTCAGCCATAAATTCTTAAATTTGAGCAAATTTTTGTGTTACCAAACGGATCCTAGATGGAATTTATATCATAATAAAAACATGTATACATTTATCAAACTTGTAGAACTCCTTAAAATAAGAGTGAACAAATATTGTACTTCAATTATGTGCACACTACTGCAAGTATGATTAATACAAAGAATTCCTAGGGGTGAAATATCTTGGAGGAGATAAGTACAAGTCGGCAACCGTATAAAAGGTAAGTATATGCACAAAACATATTCTTTTGGTAAGTCACTTCAGTTGTTTCAGTCAAAACTTCATCAACTTCAGCAAGTTTGCCGATTTAGCCAATTTGAGTGTTACCAAATGGGCTCTAAGTATTAAGAAGGGTTCAAAACTGGGGAGGAAAATCCCGTACAAAACATAGCTAAGAGAATTCAGGAAAAACAGAAAAATAGGGAAATATTTCAGGGAATCCAATTGAGCCTTACTAGAGTTTCCAAGTGGAAATTGTGTCATTATACAGAACAGAAAATGAGTGGCAGAACATACCATTCTCTGCCGTGTCTCCAGACGCAGCTTCTCTTCGTTTGCTCTATCATACTCTCCATTTTCTAGCGAACGCTGATCAGGCCTTAGTCTTGAATCAGTCGGTGGGAGCTTTTCCTTCACGCGTGATTAAAGGCATGAGTCAGGGTAGTTTATGAGTTTAGGAAAATGATAGATTCCATCTTAATAATTAATACCTTGAGTCCTGGGGTTAACTCATTCAGTGTAATTGCAAAAGGAGTCATGTTGTATCGGGTGAGGTTTGGTGGAGGTTTATTGCTTTCCCACAATAAGGATGAACCAGACAAATCTTTTGGCTTGCTATTACATTCCCCACTTAAGTAATACATGTTCTCATCCCACTTTCCAATTAGTGTTGCTACCTTACTGCCCGCGACATCTTCAACAAATCCGTGAACCTGTTTTGTTAATTTCTAATCTTAAAAAAAAAATTCCCGTATACAAATTACATAGATAGATGCACAGGATATGTGCATAGATTATTAGATTCACATAAGAAAATCAAATTACAGTATCAAGGATACATTTGGAACACAGAAATGGTAGGGAAAGCAAATAGAGAGAAAACAATGTGGGTAATTTAAAACCAATGAAATTATGAGGGGAAATAAACAACATCTTCTAGCTCAGTAAATCTATTTGAGATATTTTGTGCAAAATCATTTTGTGTGTGTGCGTGTTTTAAAAAGTCACAAATCAAATTCCATATTGATTTATAATATCGTAAGTAAAAACCAACGTATCAAAACAGCTTCCGTTAGGCAATGTCCGGGTGAATTCAATTCTCATGTATTACCTGGTGGGGGTTGCGGTCAAGAAGAGATTGCTCTTTGAATTTCAGCTTGCATGAGTATTGGCGATTACCATGTATATGCATCGTTCCGTGATGATCACAATATACCTTGCCAAGAATTAGGTTGTATATACTAGTTGTGACCTGATGACAGCATAATTTACGGATTTAGAAAAAAAACAAAAATGAAAAATGAACGAAAGAATATTGAATTGGAACCTTTTGTACCATATTTTCTCTACTACTGGTTTTTATTGTTTAAGATAATGTTACCGCTTTGATTAATTAACTAAGTCATAGACATTGGCCAATGAAAATGAGTGCTACACAAGTGATACCCAAAATGTGGTAATTTGAACTCAAGAATATTAATAATCTCCAAAGCAAAACAATGGTTCAATTCATACCTTGCTCCACTGAAAAGTCTCCCCATCATCGAATTCTAAGGTTAGAGTTCCAACAGGATCGAGTTGAATTGATCTCCCCCAAAATTTAGATTTAAGGTTAGTGTCACCCCAGAATTTCCAGCCTCTACCTTCACAATGACCAGCAATAAGTGTTGGGTGGTGACTGACCTGTTTTAGAAGTTCCCACATCAATAGTGTGAGTTTAAGTTGTCGCTGTCTCTTTTGCTAAAATTTTATTACCGACCCCAACTAGTTGGAATTAGGTTGCTACTTGCTACAGGTGCTAACAATGATGAATAACATGAACATAGAGTTGAAATTAAGTGCAACAGTGCAACACACTATTGATGTGGGAACTTCTAAAACAGGTCAGTCACCACCCAACACTTATAGATAATTAAATACACATAATGTAAACCTCTGTCATACTAGGCCAGACCTACTTCAACAGACTGGATCAGACCAAACTTTAATAGACAGAATTAGAACAAGAGCACAAGAGCAGTGAAAACATTCCAAAGGCATACTACGAGATGGTCAAGCTAGTAAACAACACTACAACCCCATAACTGAACACAGATGAAACCAGAAGCTGCATACCTTTCTATCCTAAAACCTAATATGAGATCCAAAACATATCATCATGTGAAGGGGTAAATTCTGAACCATAGGTGATGGGTCTCATTGCTACACGGGCCCTTAGTTCATGAATGGATTATATATAAAACATTTTATTGGCATGTGCTTATTCAAATTCACTGCATACACGGGCTCATAGAGAAATATTTGCCATTGTCCATGCATAAGAGTATTAACATTATTGTTGTTGAACAGAAAGGGATAGTCTCACTTTTAGTCCCTCAAATAGTATTGTTGTTGAAATGTAATCCCCGTATTTCCAAGTTTGTAAATGTAACCCCTCGATTGTCCAAAATGGTGTAAATATAGTCCTCACCCACATTGTACATTTCACCCCTTAAAGGACCACATTTTTAGTCCCTCAAATAGTACTGTTGTTGAAATGTAATCCTGTATTCCCAAGTTTGTAAATGTAACACCTCGATTGTCCGAAATGGTGTAAATATAGTCCTCACCCACATTGTACATTTCACCCCTTAAAGGACCACATTTACAGCAGTATGGACAACTGAGGGGTGATATTTTCAAACTTGAAAGCACGAGGATTACATTTCAATATCGGTACTATTTGAAGGACTAAAAGTGTGGTTTTCCCGAACAAAAATAAAAGCATGTTTTGATTAAATGCAATCAAATTCAAAAGAATTCCTAACTTATGGTTTCAGAACTCGGAAGAACTTATTAACTTTCCTAAAGAAGCCAATCACAATGAACAAAATTGCCCACCCCTCCCTTAACAATCTAGAAGGATATATATATATATACACACACACACACACCTTTTCAGAGAAGAACCGGATTCCTTTCTCGGGAAAGTCAGCTTCATAGGTTTCTCCCAGCAGAGGATTGAAAGGCTTGCAGTGTCGGCCTTCAGTTGATGCATATCCAGAAACAGCAAAAGCAGCAACGTTCAAAATCCTTTGTAGAGTGTTACCCTTATTGAAAAGATAATGAACAAGTTACATCAACACTGCAAGATGACATAGATGTCTGCTTCAAATAAGAAACTACGAAAACAGGGCAGATCAAGCAATAAGAATTCAACAATGAAACAACACCGCAGTTAGAGCAATAAGAATGCAAACATGCACATTGCAAGGTGAAGATTCCTGAGTTTTAATTTTCCTTATTTGTTTACTTTATTTCACTTGGAGGGGTAGTATTGTAATTATCAGAACTATTAGGGCTGAGTAATTGCTACCTGTCTTAGTATTTATATTGTGTTTCTTCTGTTTGATTGAATAAGAAATGAATGATAAATAATAAAGATGAGAGCATCTCTCTCTATCTCTCTCTTATCCTCTTGTATCTACAAGAGAGTAGCAGAACTCTTGACAAGGTATCGCCATTTATGATCCCGAACACTTCACAATACAACAGTGTAAATTTCACACTTCCACATTTGGAACAATATGAGAGGGAAAGGACAAACAGCTGAGAAAAATATTCAAAAAATTAAAGAAAAGAAATTGCGGGCACAAGAGCTCCCAATACATACTACGTATATTCTTCCAATTTCAAAAACACAGAATGCAAGCACAGCCTCCAAACAAAAATATGTGATATTAGTGGTATATAATTGAGTAACTGACACGGAACTACAAAAATGAATAGAAACAACTCGTATCAGCAATATTTCTAGAACCTTCAGCCTTCAAGAAAGAGCAAAGAAGCAATTTATGAACGTATACCTCTTTTCCATGCTTGTATGCCTTGTCTAAGAGATAGGAGTACTCCAAATCTTCAAAGCTTCTCTGAAGGGATGATAAGGGTTCATTGAAGTACACGGGAAGACAAACTTGTGTGAGATCTTTCCCCACATTGTCTTTGATCATAGACCATAAACTAACTCCTTTCTCTTTTTCAATGGGATCGGGTAGTCTTTTTCGCCTTTCTACTTGTGGACACATGGAAGATTGACTACCAGCATTCCTTTGCATCATATCATTAGCTGATTTCTGAAGCTCCAAGCATTTATCAATTTGATCTCCTACTGCTGACCCGTGACTGACAGAAGGATCAGAAAAGTAGTCATTTGTATCAAAAAATCTAGTTTCCTCTTCGACCGATGCTTCCTCGAGTTCTTGTTTCTCAACATCATCAGATGATTCAGTAGTGCTCCATTCTGATAATCGAATGAATTTTAAATCGTATTTGTCTTGTAAGTGCATGAAAAAGAAAGAAACAATACTAAAAACAATCCACTGGTAAGGCCACATTGTTAAGGATGGCAATGGGGGCGGGGACCCATGGGGAACCGCCTCGCGGGGGAAGGATGGGGCGGGGCTTGGGGCGGGGTGAGGACGGGGATGGGTGAGATATTTTTACGCCGTTAAAATATGGGGCAGGGGACGGGAATAGCTACACCCACCCCGTCCCCCGTTATAAATAATTAAATATATACTCAAACATATATATACACATATATAAATAATGTACAAGCATATTAAATTAAATTATATGTAGTATATAATGAGTTTTTTTCCATATTAATGTTAATTAATTAAGTATTTACGAAAATAGGGTTGGGTTAAAAGTATTTACGGATATACTGCTGGGCTTAACCCTGGTCGGGGTAAGTCGCCAAACCGTTGGCGACTTATAAGTCGTCCAACCGGATGGCGACTTATAAGTCGCCCACAGTTTGGCGACTTACCCATAAATTAATACACCAGGTTAAGCTACGCCATATACAGACAGAACGCAAACCTCAAGAAGTCATTATGAACCTCGAGAACCCACCAGTCCAGTCCAGTATCGAGAAAGAAAGTTTGAAAAAAAAGGAAAGAAAAGAGGGGCAAAATTGTCTTTTCAGACCCGCTGAATTTTACGACTATCGTGTCCGCAGGTCGCCCGCGCAGGGGGGGTGCGAATTTTCGATTCTGAACTAGAAGCCGGAGTTCTTGTGTGCGCGAGAGCTCCCCTCTTCTCATTCACCTTTTAATACTAAGTGAAGAGTGGTTCATATTTATAGACTCAAAAGTTCCCAAGGAGTTTAGGTGTGGGAAAGTTTAAAAGATTCTTTTTTCTCCTTTACTTGAGAAGAGCATTTTTTCCATCTACCTTCTTAAAGAGCTAGTTTTCGAGCCACTTCAAACTTCAAAGACCAAAACACCAACACCAAAGGTCAACACTACATTCAAAGCTTCCAAGAGTCAACCTTGAGATTAAAAAAAAAACAAGGTTAAGACTATTTTTCTCAAACTCCAAGCTACATTTCAAGGTCCAGGAATTTGCAGAAAATTTCAATCAACCTCACGTCTACGGTCAACATTCAACAATCAGCAATGGATGTCTCTAACTCATCAATGTGTAAGAACAAATGCGCTAAAGTTTCTAATGAGTCTGAGATAAGCAAATCTGACAGTCAACAAATACTCAACAACTTGGAAGACAGAATATGTGATATACACTGTACAGACTATTGTTGCTCCAAAATCTGCTATCTGCGCATAATTAAAATCTCTTATATGCTGCAGTTTTACAAAACAGAATATGTGATGTATACTGTACAGACTACTGATTCTAATACACTAAAGGAATGTATCAATAAAGGACCAGTCATGAAATCAGATGGGCTGTTAAAATATGAAAAAAAAGATATATGTTGTCCTAAGGGAGGTTTTGTAGAAGATATCAATTAAAACAGATCGCATTGGTTAATACCACATAACAAAACTTAACCACACCTTTAAAGAGATGTCAACGTTTAACTTTAAGGAAAGATTTGAGCAATTGTAATATTATTTTTCTTTCTTTTTACATCAACCACAAGCATACAATTTTACTTTCTCAAAAAGATAGTCTCCTTTTCCAGAACTCCATAAGTAGGTTTCTGTATTAGATAACAACTACAGAAACCTACTTAAAAATATGACAGTCAAGATTTTTAAGTAGGTTTCTGTAGTTGTTATCACATATTCTGTCTTCCAAGTTGTTGATTATTTGTTGACTGTCAGATTTGCTTAGAAACTTTAGTGCATTTGTTCTTACACATTGATGAGTTAGAGACATCCATTGCTGATTGTTGAATGTTGACCGTAGACGTGAGATTGATTGAAATTTTCTGCAAATTCCTGGACCTTGAAATGTAACTTGGAGTTTAAGAAAAATAGTCTTAACCTTGATTTTTTTTTAATCTCAAGGTTGACTCTTGGAAGCATTGATTGTAGTGTTGACCTTTGGTGTTGGAGTTTTGGTCTTTGAAGTTTGAAGTGGCTCAAAAACTAGCTCTTAAAGAAGGTAGATGGAAAAAATGTTCTTCTCAAGTAAAGGAGAAAAAGGAATCTTTTAAACTTTCCCACACCTAAATTCCTTGGGAACTTTTGAGCCTATAAATATGAACCACTCTTCACTTAGTATTAAAAGGTGAATGAGAAGAGGGGAGCTCTCGCGCACACAAGAATTCCGGCTTCTAGTTCAGAATCGAAAATTCGCACCCCCTGCGCGGGCGACCTGCGGACACGATAGTCGTAAAATTCAGCGCGTCTCAAAAGACAATTTTGCCCCTCTTTTCTTTCCTTTTTTTTAAACTTTCTTTCTCGATATTGGACTGGACTGGTGGGTTCTCGAGGTTCACAATGACTTCTTGAGGTTTGCGTTCATGTCTGTATATGGCGTAGCTTAACCTGGTGTATTAATTTATGGGTAAGTCGCCAAACCGTTGGGCGACTTATAAGTCGTCATCCGGTTTGGCGACTTATAAGTCGCCAAACGGTTTGGCGACTTACCCCGACCAGGGTTAAGCCCAACAGTATATCCATATATACTTTTAACTCAACCCTATTTTCGTAAATACTTAATTAATTAGCATTAATACGGAAAAAAACTCGTATATAACAAACGCATATACATAGACATATATACATACATAATTGTATACGGTTTAGTCATGGTTAATGAATTAATACATATTATACTAGAATAATAATAAGTTAGTAATGATTAAAATTTAAAAATATTTATCATAAATGTTATATATGAGTTTTAAGAGTAAGTAAATATTTAAATACACACACATTTAAATGTAATATGTAATTAATTGTATTATAATTGTTGAGAATTTTGAAACGACGTACATGATGACAATATGTTTACTTATATTTTTAATTTAACTGTCTTCGATTCACAAAACTTACTCAAATTGAAGAATAATTAAAATTGGCGGTATTAACTTTTAACAAACACAATACTTCAGGATTGCATATATGTATAATTGTATATATGTGTGTATATATGTTTATAGGGGTGTGATCACATATAAACTAGTCCTCCCATGCTAACCTACAAACTGTCACAAACTATGCATTTTTACATTATATGTATTGCATATTGAAGTTCACAGTGTGCATCTTTACATTATTTGTATTGCATATTGAAGTTCAAAGTGTTGCATATTATTGAGTTTGTAGGTTAGTATTTTAAGCATGGTGAAATATAGATTTATAGTTATTCAGTGTTACAATATATAATATCTGCGTTGTGTAGATATATATAGATTTAGGATCAAATGAGAACAATGCTTGATGTGAGAACAATGGGCTCGCACAATGCACTTTTTCGTACCAAGCATAATATTTATAAAAGTGACACAATGATTATTTATATTAATTTGGATTGAGCAAAGTCCAAATGTGCACTAGAGGTGCTCTATTGTGTATCACATTGGATTAAATGTGAGTGTTCTCATGTTCTCACGTTAAACATCATTCTCATTGGAACCGCATCACGTATATTTATAATGGATTAAAAGTATATGCAAATACGATACATTAAAGGGAAAATCGCACTTTCAGTCCCTGAATTGAAAGTCACGAAAATGAAATGTCGGACCCATATTCCCAAGTTTGTAAATGTCGTCCCTCAATTGTCCTAAATGCTATAAATGTGGTCCTTTGAGGGGTGAAATATACAATGTGGGAATGTGGGCGAGAGTACATTTCACCCCTTAAAGGACCACATTTAAAAAAAATTGGACAATTAAGAGGTGACATTTACAATATCAGAAATACAGGTCCGGCATTTCATTTTCGTGACTATTTCAGGGACTAAAAGTGCGATTTTTCCTAAACTAAATCTATATGGGGGCACCCGCGGGCACTTGTGGGGGACAACGTGGTGGGGCGGGGATGGGGGGAACTTTTTAGACATGGGACGGGGATAGGGGGAACTTTTTAGACATGGGGCGGGGGATGGGGGAGTGTACCCCGCCCCATTGCCATCCCTACACATTGTTATGGCTTTGGTAATATCAATATTTTTATGAGAACATGTTTAATTTTTAAAAGTATTCCAGAGTACATTTGATATTGGATTGCGTAGATTAAATCATATGCAGATTAGAGAGGATAACCAAGTAAACTGTGATATTTATACAGTAAGATGTCTTGTTATGCAAGATTTTCATTTCATATTAAAAATATCATGCAAAGCAATGAATAAATTTTAAGGACATTGGTAGAGTAAAATTATATTTGTCTTTCAAAAGAAACTGTATTTGTTATCTTACTCACTGTAGTGAGGAATAGAACAATAATAATCGGTTAGCCAAGAAAAACATCTCTCTCTACAATGTGCAGGGGGGACTAGATGTGTACAAGTGTTTTTTTAATCAGAGTATGCCCACACATCATCAGAAGTAATATTGAGATATGTAGCTCATGATTTTTTGTCTTACACAGATTCTTTTTACCAACTTCTATTTGTGTTTTCGCTTTACTAAGAGAATGGGAATATCAATTTAACAAACATTGAGTTGCTTTGGGAAGTAGTTAGCAAAAGGAGATATAAAACTTACCACTGTCCTTTCCATGTCCTAAATTTGGATATTCACTACTCAATAATTGGTACTCGCCCTCAGGAACTCTAGCAGCCTCGGTTTCAATATCGGTCCCCTGCAGAAGCAAAACTAGAGTGCCTTAATGCAGGTAAATAATTGCAAATGTTTTACGCTAAAGAAATGGGCATTTAGAAACTCTGATAATTAACAATATGCAAAGCAGAAAAAAATCATTTACCTCCAACTGTTGTAAAGTTTCTAACAGACTTGTACGCTCCTCGCAGAGATATTGAAGTTGACCTTGCATTTCAGACAATTCAGAAAGCATGATCTCCTCACACTCATTGACAAGTCCCTCACCAACTCCCTCATCAAGCAAACGCTTCTTCAGCTTGTCAGTTGATACAGATACACTCCTGGGTAAAATGGAGAGATTATCAGCTGATGGTCTAAGCATAAAGACATTTCTGGTTGAAACCAATGCTTCTATCCAAGCCTCTCTCTCTTGTCTTGAATTTGTCCTAAGGTGAAGAGTCTTGGTAGCTGTAAATATGTAAAACCTCCTATCATCAGATCTGCTCTCACGAAATGAAGATACCTACATACAAAAGTACAATAGAAAAGAATATGCTTTAAATTCTTTTCCTTGGGACAATACGAACCCACCTAGCAAAAAGAGCAGGCAATTAAAAACTAATGCTGGCTAAAGCCAGCATTGCCAGCCAGACATGAGAAGAAGGAAAGAGCAATGACATGAATACCTTATTCTAGTACGGAGCACTATTTCTCTGCTTCTGTAACAAATTTCTTTATACACCAATAAGTGTATTTCCTAACTCACTTTTCAAACAGATTTATCAGCTTAATTCACATTATGCCAAACGTCACAGAGATGAAAAAAACTTGGTATGAATTGGCAAAAAAACAAACACTTGCTGTTTGAGAATGTCAGAAAAGGTAGAAACAGTCAAACAGATTATCCACCATTATTTTCTGTTTCACACATGCAATTTCAACCAAGAAAAGAACACTGCTTTCTCAACAACAAATTTGAAAGAGCAGATTCGTCGGTAGAGAAACCTGAAGATGTCCAGGTGTCAAAAGAGAAAGCTGACAAAAATATAAAAAGTCAAGCTGACAATTGGCTTTTTGTTAGCTTGAAAATGAAGAGAATGCGTCTCCATTAACAGGAGGAAAATCGACTCAAACACGCCGTAAAATTCGTTTTTTAGCCTATGTGTATTTACCACAATACCTAAGGCCCAAACCTAATGAATCTATTGGGTTCTTCTCTTATTATCTACTTGGATGTGACTCGTTAAAAGTAACAAGCAGGAGTTAAACTTGATAGAAAAAACGCCCTAGAAAAAGATAGCCGCAAAAACTCAGTTTTCCCAGAAATTGGAAATCGTAGCAATGGGAGTAAATGCTCCACATTAATTGCGCTTCCGGTATGGAAAGTTTTCTGTTTGTTGCAGCCTACCCACCACAACGACTGACTACCGCTCCTCCATATTGAAAATTTTTCCCAGAATCATCTTACCGAAGTGCTGATTTTCTCTCCCACACACTTCGCATAGTGGGTACGAGTTTTGCACTGACCGACCAGTGGGCCTGATAAAAAATGTGTAGTGTATGGACACGGGTGACAGGCCACGTTTATACACACACACACACACAAATGAATTTCATACCTTGAGATGAACAATGCGGATGGTTTTGCGGTGTTTAGGGCGGCGAGGATCGTTGGATGGGAGTTGACCGATCAGTTTAACGTCGTCGGCGGTCAAAGAGGCGTAGTCAGGGTGACAAGTTTTGGAATAAGAGAGAAAGCCATTGCGGAGGTTAAACCAGCGGGATCTCCAGCCCTTGTGGTAATTGGTCCACTTGTAGAGCACACCAGCAACGCCCCCAGCATTGGCATCAGATCCGACGACCGCAGAACCGGTCCGTAGCAAAACCGCCGACGGTTCCGGTGACCGGTCACCGATCGCGCCGCTCGCCAAAGTTATGCAGCAGAGTGGATGCGGCATTTCCTTAGCCCGCATTACGATCGCTCCACCTTTCCTTCAACCTCGCCCCAATTCGATCCTCATCAGTACCCCCTACATCGCCGTTCGAATTTACACATGTGTACCTCACTTTCTCCCTATAGCTGTATACATAAAAGCACCTGAAAGAGCTCTGGAACTGAGATTTTGGCCGGAGATTAGAGAGAAAGGAGTCTGCTAGCTTCCTTGACAATTTTGTAGCTCTATCTACAAAGTCAAATGAAAATATTCATCGAAGAAGAGGAATGGTAAAATAGTCATTCCGCCATCAATGACGTGAATTTTGCACCTGTGGTGATGGTCACATATTGACGAAAGGGTGACGGTGACGATTATAATAAGAATTTATTATTAACGTCTTTTGACCAGACAACTCACTTCTTTTTAGAAAAATTCTAGAGATAATTACCTATATAGGACTAAAAAGTAAGAAAAATTCTACAAATAGGACTTGAGCTTTCCGTAAAGTTTCGTGGAAGTAAAAAAGGATGACCTGACATAAATGCCCTTAATGAATCTGCAGCTCATTTGTTATTAATATTTTAAATCAAAATATATAAAATAAACAGTACATGTACAACAGACAATCGCGGACACAACCCTCGGGCCAATAAACACCTACTCTGCCGCCGTTGGTCCATCATCCATTACTGCCTCCGTCGCATCGTCCGCCGCCGCGTTGTCCACCGCCGCCGCCGCGTCGTCCGCCTCTGCCGTGTCGTCCGCCTCTGCCGCCGCGTCGTTTGCCTCTGCCGCTGGTAGCTCTACCACCTGTCACCGCCACCAATGTCATCATCAGAGTCGCCTCTTCCACCACTGACCGACGTTGCTGCCATACACCGGACGCTTCTTGGCGGCGCCTCCGCCACCATCTCCACAGCTACCTTTGTCTCTGCTATAAATCTCATTAAAATAAAGGATATGTTATTATTATTGTCATTTTCAGATTTTCATGACATTATAAATGTTATATTTGTAATGAGAATAATATTGCCATCATAACAAATATAATGTCATATGAATGACACTATGTCTAAAAATAACATATTTATATAAGTAATAACATGTCATTATTAGTCATCTGGATGGAATTAATGTAATAAAAATGGCATTATTAGCCATCTTGATGGAATTAATGTAATAAAAATGGTTAAGTCAGCTTGATGGAATTAATGTAATAAAAATGGACTTATTAGCCATCTTGATGGAATTAATGTAATAAAAATGGCATTATCGATCAAATAATAATTTCACATCTTAATACCATAAACATCACTTTGAATTAGGGATTATGGAAATTTCATATTTAAATTGAAAAATGAATTCTAAAAAGTTACAAGAACAATGTAAATTTAATATCTATATTTTACCAAATAAAAAAGCCAAAAGAACAAAAGTAGAAAGAAAAGTTGAAAGAGAAAAAAGAGAAGAAATAAAAAAGTCTCCAATATAAACAGATCTGGAAAGACAAAGGATACTTGAAGCAAAGAAAATTTAAAATCTCATAAATACAATATTAAATCTCTACAATAGGAGGAATAAACTGAAGGAGTAAAGTTAGTAAATTAACCAACCATATGGTCTTTGTTCAAATTTCAAAAAGGAGTTTTTGTGCTTAATTAATCTGAGAAGAATAAGAAAGGAGAAAGAGGATGAATAGAAAGAGGAGAAGAAGAGGAAAGAAGCACATCAAGTAGACTTACCAACATTTTCGCCACCGCCCATCGGCGGTCGCCGGAGATGCGCAGATTCACCATCCAAACATTTATAAGCAGACACACATGGAGAAATTGGGGAAAAAATTATTACGTCCAAGCATGTGATAGATGAATTATGAGATGAGAAAGGATAGAGATGAATTATTAGATGAGAAAGGAGAGAAGATGGAGGGGAGTAGGTCGGCAAGAAAAATGGAACAGGGATGTGGGTGTGGGGTAGAGGAGAAAATGAATGAGATTGATGGATGGAGAGTCTGAGATACTGACGGAATTATTTGCGTAGCAGCTGGAAAGAGGGGCAAACACGGAATAGAAACGGATCATTCAATTAATAACTCCTATTCAGGGAATAAAATTATAAGAAGTCCTATTTTGGAATTTTTCTATTATTTTAGTCCTATTTGAGGCAAATTCTAAAAATTCTACGAGTTATTCTATATTTAAAAAGGCACAATTTGCCAAAAACAGCGATTCAAAACAAATTATGAATCTTTTTAATTCGATCTAGTCTAGAATTTAATTCACTTCTACAAATTCATTATATTCTGTGTATTTCACAACTTTCAAATTTTAGTTTTATGGGTTTGAAACCATTTCAATTTATAACATCTTTTGTCAAAGATGCATGACTGAACTCAAATTTTTAGACCTAAATAAATCTCTCCACAATATTAGAAATACTTTTTTAGCGAAAGCAGTAAATCATGTAACTTGTTTTAAGATTTTTGGACACTCATCTTGTTGAACAATTAAGCATACGAAGTATTAAATTTAATACTTGGCTCCATGGTCACAATCGCAAGAGGATCGGAGTGAAACATGATAGATGTCATTTATTTGACTCTTTCTCAAGAAGAATGAGTGTATTTTTCGATGGGGAAAAGAAAAAGTAATTATGGTGATTCAATATGTTGGGATCATAACCTTTATAAAATGTATTAATTAAGCTTAATTGGGATTTTCATTATATTATAAAGGTAAAATTCATATCAATAATCCGTACTTATAGTGGTTCTACAATAATAATCTCTACTGTAAAAATCAATACAAATAATCCAAACTCGTAAATGTGTCTACATAGATAGATTAAACCTTCATAGATAGATTATCCTTCAAGAAAATAATTATAGTAATGATATAAAACACTAAACTCACGTGTATGACAATGGTGAACAAAGTTAGTAGTGTATCCTTATATATTACTCCGTAAAATATCCAAAAGATTAATCTAATCTATCTATGTAGACGTGTTTATGAGTATGGATTATTTATATAGACATCTTCGGTAGGATTTATAATTTTTTTTTTTGAAAGGAAAGGATTTAATTAATATTAATCGAATCGTTCGCCAATGCGGATACAATGAAAGAAGGAGGAGAAAATAACCACAATTGCGAGTCAGGCAAAGAACAAGCCGCCCTAGCTAACAAATGAGCCGGCTTATTCGCTGACCGCTTAACATGACTAAAAGAAATGCTCGAAAAATGTTTCGCCAAATCATTGATGTCGTCACGAAGTAATCCCACCGTTGAACTGCTAGATCCACTTAGAATTTCTGAAATCGCCCCTGCTGAATCAGAATTAACCTCAACTGATGTGCCTCCAAAGTCCTTTAGCCAACTTAAGGCTTCTCGGATTCCCACCAGTTCAGCCACCAAAGGTGTTAAGTGTCCCGGCCATCTTCGAGCTGTTCCTGCAATAAAATCGGCGTTGTGATCTCTAAGGCACCACCCCAAACCGACTCTGTCTGACCGAACAGCTGCATCTACGTTGAGTTTCCAAACACCCAGAGCAGGTCTGCTCCACGAATTGATCCCCATCCCACCAGCCTGCTGCCTCCTACCTTCTGCAAATCTGTTATGCACTTGTTTCCAACCATCAATCATAGCTCGTGCTTTATTCAAAACCTGCTGCATGCCCGAACTTTTTCCTTCCCAAACCCGTTGATTCCGTTCGTTCCAAAGAACCCAGCTGCCCCACATTAAAACTTCCACATCTTCCTGTTTCTTCCTTCTGAACTCGATGCTAACCTGCTCTGCAAAAGGGAGATTATCCCCCACTGACCACTGCCAGCCGACCAGCCTCCAAAATTCCTTGGATGCATCACAATGACGAAACAAATGCTCCTGTGACTCCACTCCTGCCTCGCAGAGTCCACAATGCCCCGGACAGTCCACCCGCCGAATCCGCAAATTTTGCCTTGAAGGAAGATATCCGCTACAAACCTGCCAAAAAAACATTTTAATTTTAGGTGGAAGTTTGACCTTCCACATGTTAGTCCACTCCATGTTCTGCTGCCCCCCATAGTCCGATACCAAATTTCGATAGCAACTACGCACTGAAAAAAGACCGCTTTCCTCCCAACGCCAACACACCAAATCCTTAACCGGTCTCCTGCTAAGAGGTATTCCACGAATAATGGCTGCATCTCTATCTCCAAAAATATCTGAAAGCACATCTAAATCCCAACCCTGAGAAGAGGAATCAAATAAATTGGCCACCACGGCTTCGCCTAGACCTTCAAGTTTCTCCGTTTCAATCCTCGGGTTTTCTCTATTCGGTAACCATGGCTCCTCCCAAATGTTTATGGAGTGACCATCCCCCACTCTCCAAAAGTATCCTCCCCGAATGATATTCTGAGTATGAATCAAGCTCCGCCAAATAAAGGAAGGGTTATTCCCTGGTTTAGCTTTCAAAAAATCTGTTTTAGGAAAGTATCTTGATTTGTAAACCCGGCCCACCAAAGAATCCGGATTAGTAAAGATCCTCCACGCTTGCTTAGAGAGCATAGCTAAATTAAAGTCCCGAAGCCTTTTAAAGCCCAACCCCCCCGCAGACTTTGGTTTGCAGAGTGAGGCCCAATCCTTCCAATGGATCCCTCTACCAGACTTCCCCTTCCACCAATACCCATTCATGATATTTTCAATTTCTCGACAAAGATCAACTGGCAGAAGGAAAACATTCATGGAGTATGTAGGCATAGCCTGATGAATTACAGCCTTTAAAAGCACCTCCCTACCCGCTTTGGACAAAAAATTTGTTATTCCAGCTATTTATCCGGGCAATCACTCTCTGTCTTAGGTATCCTAGAATGTGATTCTTATTTCTCCCCACCAAGGCAGGCAAACCTAAGTAAATCTCATCATCCCCCGCCAAACCAACGCCAAGAAGTTCAATGAGCCCCTCTCTATACGTGGCTTCAACATTGGTACTAAAAAATACCTTTGATTTATTAAAATTAATTACCTGTCCAGAAGCCCTCTCATACTCGGCCAGAGTCTCCTTAATCAAAGAGGCTTCATCGTGCGATGCTCTAAAAAATAGAAGACTGTCATCTGCAAAAAACAAATGAGAGATCATAGGAGCCCCTCGGGCAACAGAGACCCCATGAAGGAGTCCCATCGTTTCATATCTCTGAAGTAAGGCGCTCAGACCCTCTGCCACAATCAGAAACAAATACGGAGATAAAGGATCCCCTTCCGGAGACCCCTCCCCGGAGGCAAAAGATCAATAAGTCCATCATCAAAAGGTATGGAATAGGAAACAGATGTAACACACTCCATGATTATCTCTACCCATTTTTCATGAAAACCCAAATTTCTCAACATCCCCTTCAGAAAAGGCCACTCAACCCGGTCGTAGGCCTTACTCATATCCAGCTTGAGACCCACCATGCCCACTTTTCCTTGACGCTAAAAGTATGAATTTCGCCTATTATAAAAGGTAACACGGACCATTGCCTACTGAAGCACATACGATTTATTCTTAGTAGCTAATAAATAATTACAGAGTTTGTTGGGTGGTGGTGGTTAAAAGGTGTTTGAAAATTAAACATAGTCTTTTTTAAGAGGATATTAATTGTCTTTTAGTTTGTTCAGATAAAAAAAGGTGCATAAACACACAAAAAAAAAACTTCAAAGTTATCACCGAACGATATTTTTATCTTTCTTTTTCAGCAAGGAAGGCACTTGTATGCCATTTTATCTTGGAGCATTAATCGTTCGCCTAGGATTTAAGGCAGCCATATGACGCCACTAGTTAGCAGCATTCTGGGTATAAGAGTCAAATGTGGTCTATCAGAAGATGAGAAGATAAAAGTCAAAGCAAAACTAAGATAGCAATCTGCATTGTTTGTGTATACCTCTCAAACCCTTACTTTTTGGGTTTCTGTCTGTTCATTGTTTATGTATACCTTTGAGTGTCCATTTATGAGTAATTATTTTATACTACGTATTTTATTTCACTCTCAACGCTTGATAGGAAACTGATGGAGGTTGGTAAATTGAAGAGTCATGCTGAAACTGATACGACAAAAGCTTCGTATTCTGGAGCGCATTGGGATTCAATGAATGTTCCCATAACTGGAGTTTGGTCTATCAGGTAAGGGTTTGGTCTATCAGTTAAGTCAGAAATGTGAAATGAGAATAGACAAAATGGTTGATTTTTATTAGGTTGTGAGATCTCCTCTCTAATGGTTTAAGATACTAATCAATTTGAAGTTTTAAAAAAACACTAAAACATAAATTAAAATATTCTTGTTGCTAACAAACTAGACTGCTTTTCTTTGTCCCTTGGGATTCCCATGTTATATAGGGGTGTTTGGAACTGATTCTACTTCTGCTTCATTTTTAAAGCAGAAGCAGAATCAGAATCAGTTTTCAGAAGCTGGTCTCCCCCAGCTTCTAAAAAAGTGATTCTAGGAGTAAATTAGAGCACCAGAATCACTTTTGCACTTTCACCCAAACACTCCAACTTCTGCTCATTCAAGGAGCAGAAGCGGTTTTAAGAATCAGATCCAAACACCCCCATAGTTGGATTGGAAAAATCTTTGTCGTTTACTTTTTTGTAATCCAGAAGGAAGACCTTAGTCGATGATGGGATTAGGAGGGCCTTGTACACATGGTAATATGACATACATTCTGGTACACTTTTTCAAAGCATGGTACACAATAGTAAAAAACTTAGCCCTGAAGACATTTAATAGTAGAAAACTTAGACGAAATTTAGGGGTTTTATGCACTAAATGTCATTGATAATACCTTTTATCACTTTTGCTTTTAAGACAAGTAATATTACCCTATTGAGTTGCGCATCCTTTTAGATTTTGTGAACTGCAATATATCTATAGGCTCGTTTAGAATTCAACACTTGTACATACCTGTCTATTAAAATTGAACTTTTATGCCTCTTGGTAGACGATTAACTTTCTCCAGGTGGTATATGT